TCTAAATTATCCTTCAATAGTCACAAGCTGAATAAACAGCAAAAAGGCAATTAGGAATTATATTTTTAAAATGGCAAAGGAAAACTACCTACAATAGTATGTTGCTTGAAAACATTTTATATAACAAATAGATAGGCCAAAAATTATAGCAAGGAGACTATACAGCAGAAAAAAGAGGCAGGGAAGTTTAAATTCTAATTTCTACATAGAGATTTCTGCTTCCAAATAGTACAACAAAATCTTTCTTAACTAAAAACATTGTTCAGGAAAAAATATTGATTCCTTTTGCACTGTCTTTTAATACTTAACTTATTAATAGAGTTAACATACTAATTAAGTTAAAAGACAAGATGGCTGGTACAATGATTAGTGTGGTGGTTAGAGTTAGCATGTGCTCCACCTAGGTAATCTGGAAAGAATCCAGATTGGGCACAATCCCAGATTGGGACAAATTGGGCACTCCCAACTTGTAATGATTATCAGGGCTCTGCATATAACACCTTATGAAACTCCCCAAATCAAATCTTGGAATTGCACTTCAGTTGCTAAGGACAGCTACACAGTTCAGAAAGTTAAGAAGTGGCTGGCTGGTGCTATGTGGGTGTAAAAAGGCTGAAGCACTTTCAAATTTCCGTTCGAATCCAAAGCTCTCAACATCAATCATCATAACCGTAATTATCATCATTGAAAAATGACAAAATAGATACGATTACAAAGGTGAGAATCTGCTCATCTAAGGATATACACCATGGAATTATATTAACATATTGAGTTCAGTTTTTATTCTGGTTGATGTATGCTTTCAGCATGTGTATACAGTATGCATAACCTTTAAGTGCATATTTATTTGTTTGTTTACTAGATTTGTTTGTTGCCCATCTTCTTTCAAAGGAACTCTGGGCGGCTTACAGCATTAAAAGCATGGAATATTTCTAAAACAATAAAAACAGAATTTCAATCAAAGATATAAAATTATAGTTAAAAGATGGGAAGGGGAGAACAGGATGCACAGGAGGGAGGTGGGGCTGCCTCTTAATTGCATCACAACCACCTCCATTGTGATGCTGTCCCATTGGGATCCCAAGCTATCCACCAGTACCAGATCTTTAGGCTCTTGCAGAAGATCAAAAGGGTGGGAGCCAATCGAACGTCAGGGGCAGGAGGTACGGCAGAGAAGACCCTTCTCATGGACCCCATCAGCCAAAATTCCTTGACTGAGGGGCCCTGCTGTCAAGCTGCGTCCGCAGCTCAACCCACGAGCTACAGACAAGACGAAGTGAGGAATCACAGGGGAGGGCTGTGGGGCAGCAAAGACCGGGGACACAGACGGTGGTAGTGGCACAGGGTGATTGATCAGGCAAGCTGAGCTGGACTCACGGCAATGTCAGATGACGTCAGGAAGAGCAGGGAGCAACGAGCGTGTGGCTCGTTTGATCCAGACTACAGAACAGCTGAAAGAGCCAACGCCAGGGCCGGATTTTCCTATAGGCTAACTAGGCTTCAGCCTAGGGCCTCAAGATCAAGAGGGGCCTACATTCAAATTGTTAGCAAAATTAAAATTACACTTCACTATAGGTGAAAGGGCCTCATAAGTGGAATAGCCTAGGGCCTCTTTTCATCTAAATCCGGCCCTGGCCAACGCAACCACCTAGGCAATTTGAGGGGCGGGTCATTGCCTTGAAAACGGGCACTGAGAGGCAGAAGCTCTCAGCGCTGACCTTGAATTTGTAAAGCTCAACGTAACTTGTAGCGAAATTAAACCCACATCTGGCAAACATTCCACGAGTTTCCAGTTAATTGTGAGGGCTCAATTATGGCTGAGAGAAAGTTGGTGCTGAAAGCTTCTGCCTCTCAGCACCCATTTTCAAGGCAATACCACACCCCTCAAATTGCCTTGGCACTTGGCATCGGCTCTCTCAGCTGTTCTGTGGTCTGGATCAAATGAGTCACCCGCTTCCGCAGTGTTATTGCAGAAAGACACGCAGAATAGAATCCAGCCCTGCGCATACACCTCATATAAGTTCATACATACAGAGAAGGGTTGGGCAATTTGGGAGGCCTTCGCCATATGGTGGGCTCTTCTGACATGGTGACATTTGCTGGAGGAGGCAGAGAAGCCATTCAAGGTCTGGACCAACCACAAAAATCTGATAGCTCTCCAAACTCCCAGAAAACTATCCCCCAAGCAGGTACGTTGGGCGCAGTATTTTTACCGGTTTAATTTTGCCCTGAAATACGTACCTGCTGAGAAAAACTTCTTGGCAGACACTCTGTCCCGTATGCCCCAATATAACAGTCATACAAGCCATGATACCACTAGGACAAATAGCCAGATGCATGGGACTGAACCGATAAACCCGTGGCTTACTGCATTACGGGAGGCATTGAAACAGGATAAGTGGGTTAAGGATAACGCCTTGTTAGTCACCCATAGGGAGGGTCTTGCCTGGAGGGGAAATAGGCTATATATACCCGCCAGCCTCAGAGGTTCTGTTTTAAAACAATGCCATGATGTAAAACCTGCTGAGCATTTTGGATTCCTCAAAATGCTACACCTTGCGAGGCGCCAATTCTGGTGGCCAAGGATGCGTTTCGACATTGAGGAATATGTACGAGGTTGCACAATATGTGCCATAAACAAACCATGGCCGGGAAAACCCTTGGGTCTATTACAAACAGTAGCCAAACACGAACGTCCATGGGATGAAATTGTTATGGATTTCATCGTGGACCTTCCGGAGAGCAACGGCAATACAGTCATTTGGACCATAATAGACCTGTTCTCCAAACAGGCACACTTTATCCCATGCAACATCTCCCCTCAGCTCAGTGGTTGGCGAAATTTTTTATACAATATACCTACCGCCTACACGGAGTATCCCATCACATAATTTCAGACAGAGGGTGCAATTTACTGCTCGCTTCTGGCGGAACTTCATACAGCTGATAGGATTGTTACAAGGGTTGAGTTTGGCTTTCCACCCCAGCACCAACGGGGCAGCGGAACAAGCTAATGCAATGATAGAGCATTACTTAAGAAGCTATGTGTCATATCAGCAAACGGATTGGTCTGGGTTGATACTGTTTACAGAAGTAGCTTACAATAATGCAGTGCACAACAGTACCGGTTTTACCCCATTCCGGATAGTGACAGGACAAGATTCCCCCCACCCCCCAGAACTGGAAATACAGGCATCAGGAACAGAGACAGCAACAGAACCGACCGGTTGGGCCAATAAGATCCATGGGATGTGGCTGCAAGTCAAACAGTCGTTACACATAGCGGCGAAGGAATATAAACAACAGTCAGACAAGAAAAGGGCTGATCATACACCGTTCCAGGTTGGGGATCAAGGGTACTTGTCCACAAAATGCATAAAACTAAAATTACCTAGTAAAAAACTAGGACCAAAGTACATTGGTCTCTTTACAATCATTAAAGTGATTAACCCCATCATGGTAGCCCTTAAGCTCCTGTGCCTGTTAGAGAAAATCCATCCAGTGTTTCACAGCAGCCTATTAAAACCTGCAAAAAATATTATGCCATGTAATTAAATGCCTGGACCGGTGTGTGATGACCAATACGAAATAGACAAAGTCCTTGATTCTCAGTTGTACAGGGGTAGGGTGAGATATCTGGAAGGGATACCCAGACACAGAGGCATCATGGGTAAAGGCAGAAGATATCAATGCTGACAGGCTGTTACGACGGTTTCACCGGAAATACCCTGACTAACCCGGGGAGTCATTAACTTCTCTCCTTTATGTATTACAGGTGGACTCCTGGTAGAGGGAGTCGCCTGTCAAGCCACGTCCGCAGCTCAACACACTAGCTGCAGACAAGACGAAAATGCAGGAACCCGGGTGGGCGGCAAGGAGCCTGATGCAAGGACCCACAGTGAGGAATCAAAGGGGAGGGCTGTGCAGCAGCAAAGACTGGGGACACAGACGGTGGTGGTTGCACAGGGTGATCGATCGGCGAGCTGAGCTGGACTCACAGGGCTGTCGGATGACTTCAGGAAGAGCGGGGAGCGACGAGCAGGCGGCTTGTTTGATCCAGGCCACAGAACAGCTGAGAGCCGACGCAAAGCGCCTAGGCAATTTGAGGGGCGGGGCATTGCCTTGAAAACAGGCGCTGAGGCAGAAGCTCTCAGCACCGACTTTGAATTTGTAAAGCTCAACAAAACTTGTAGCCGACTTGTAGCGAAATTAAACCCACATCTGGCAAACATTCCATGAGTTTCCAGTTAATTGTGAGGGCTCAGCACAAGTGTGGCCAAGTGGCTGAGACCCGCAGCATGCATGCTCTGCCAGCATGGGTAGGATGGGCCAATCCCAAGGGGGTGAGACAGTTCTTCAAATAATATGGACCATGCTATGCAGGGATTTAAAGGTAATAACCCACACCTTGAATTGCATCTGAAAGCAAACCAAGAGCTAGTGTAGTTCATGGAGCAGTGGTTGGATATGGGCCACCCTAGAGGCCCCAAGAACTGCCTGTGCTGCCGCATTCTGCACAAGTTGAAGCTTCTGAATGCTCTTCAAGCATAGCCCCATGTAAAGGGGCTATACATTTGAGTAGTCCAAACACTGAAATGCCTACATTTTCTCTAATCTGTGAGTTTAAAAAGATATTTAAAAGGCCCCACAAGCATGTTTCAAGGGCTTTTGGAATAAAGACCTTTTTCTGCAGGAAACAAACTAAATTTTAGGTAAGAATTGTTTCCATTAGGGCAATATTTTGTGGTGAGGATCATGTTTTATTTTATTCTTTGTTTTTAACAAAGGGTGCTGTTTTATATCAGAAGACTTTAAGGAACACATTGCAGAGGAATACAGAAATGTTCAACTCTTTCAGGGAAGAAAAGTTGAAGACATTTAAAATGCAGAAGAAAGCAAAAACCATGACCAATTACTATTTTCGAGAGTCACAAAATGAAGCCTGGGACCTATATATAATTTGGCTTAGCTATAATTGTGAAAATAGAAACATGAAGGCCTCTTTCTTATTCAGTTTAGTAGAATTTTATGCTTTTAGAAACCAAATGGCACTCCACATTCAGGCAATATGCACACATACTGAACACTCAGACACAACATTTCAGTATTCCTAAAGATTGCTGCATTATTGAGGATTTTGACTGTGCCATTTTCTTTTCTTCTTGCTCCTATATGTCATTAAGCAACTTGAAATCTTCTCCTAGAGAGAGATGGATTTTTCTGGAATGACCTGGCATGGAACTGTGAACCTGTAAGAAAAAAAAGAATTGGGCAATTGAGACTTAAGTAGACATAGTCCACTGCAACCAGAAGATATAACCCTGATTATTTTTCAGAAGCTTACTTTCTAGTGTTCGTTCTGTGCTGCAGAGGCGGCTAATTTAAACCAGGAAAGACACCCAGATTCTGTAACTGTGTGCCCTTAATTGCATCACCAAGAAATGTATCACAGATGGTACTTGTTTACCAATCACTCATTCAATGAATCTTCCACTACACTAAACAAGAAGTATTTATGATTGGTCCTCATGCACATAACTTTTCCAGCAATGCTACAGTTATGATTGTGATTCAGGTGCTTGGCAACCGCATTGCACTTAACAACAGTTGCAGCATTTTGCAGTCACCTAATCACAATTAGCAACTTTTCCTGCCAGCTTCCCCTAAGCAAAGTCAATGGGAAAGTCCACAAGGAAAATTGCCAGTCACTTCCCCACCTTCCTGCACGCTGGATTGTGACTTCCTTTTCTCGGCCACTCTGTGCTGATATGCACCTGCATCCCCTCAGCTGCTGCACCATAGAACCCCCTCAACTCAAATCCAACTTGAGACGGGCCTCCGAGGGCTTCCCCATAACAAACCCCCACATTCCTTACCCGAGAATCTTCCCACTTCCCACTTAAAGACCTCCGCATTTTGGATGACAATACAATGACAATAGAATTGTCAGTCCTAAACCATGCAGTCACATGACCCCAATCCCAGCTGCTGCTGTAATCCAGGTAGTACTTGTACAGTTTTCTGCTGCTTTTGTCCTACTTTCCCTGTTTTAATTCCTGGGGAGAGGAAGGAATATTTTGCCTGCTAGCACAGCTTCTTATAGGTCAGTGATGGCGAATCTTTTTGGCACCGAGTGCCCAAACCGGAACGCACGTGTGTGCGCATGCATGCACTTGCCAGAGCGCCGGAAACCTAAAGACCAGCTGGCTGGTGCATATGTGCACACCGGAAACCAGAAGAGCAGCTGGTGATGGCGTGCGTGCTCACAGAGAGGGCTCTGCGTCAAAGGTGGGTTTCAGCAGGTTCTGACCAGTTCTGGAGAACTGGTAGCGGAAATTTTGAATAGTTCAGAGAACCGGTAGTAAAAATTCTGACTGGCCTGCCCCCATCTATTCTCTGCCTCCCAAGTCCCGCTGATCAGGAGGAAATGGGGATTTTGCAGTAACCTTCCCCTGGATTGGGGAGGGAATGGAGATTTTACAGTATCCTTCCCCTGCCACACCCACCAAGCCACACCCACAGAACCGGTAGTAAAAAATTTTGAAATCCACAACTGCCCTGTGTGCCACCTCTGGCACGCGTGCCATAGGTTCACCATCACGGTTATAGGTGTTGCTGGCTCTATTGCAGTGCCAGCTGAGGACAATTTCTCATTACTGATTCCTCCTTTGGCCCTTCTCTATCTCCTATCTAGATGAATAGATTTCAGGAAGAGCCTTGGTAGTACAGGGGTTTAAGGCACCCTGTTATTAAGCTTATTAAGACCAGCTGCCTGCAATTACTGCAGGGTTCGAATCTCGCCAAGGCTCAAGGTTGACTCAGCCTTCCATCCTTTCTAAGGTAGGTGAAATGAGGACCCAGTTTGTGGGGGCAATAAGGTGACTTTGTATAAATATACAAAAGGATGAAGGCTATTGCTGAGCACATTGTAAGCCACCCTGAGTCTTCGGAGAAGGGCGGCATATAAATAAAATTTAAAAAAAAAAAAAAGGTATGGAAATGTCAATGGGAAAGCCCACAGGGATTTGCTTTGCAGGTTGAAGCAGATCAGATTGTGCTATGTTATTATATTTAGTATGAGCACCGTCCAAAGTCTCTCTGGTTGGACCTAAGTGTTGTTAAATATATAAATATTGAAGTAGCTAGACCAAATAAACTGAAGAGAAATGTGCATATGATCATATGTAAATATTTACTTCAATATTGCAAAAACAATGGCTTCTTTATGTCTTCTCATCTTTCAACACATCATCAGATGAGCCTACGGGAGTTTTGCAATTCACTTATACTTTTATTTGGAAAATTGTTTTCACTTCAGATGCATCTCACTTACAGGGAAGAATATATTTGGAATTCTGGAAGGTATTCTGACATGGTACTAGTTATGTTGCACAGATGGTCAGCTAAGTTTAGAAGATTTTAAAATAGTAATAATTAGTTTGGGTGCAGAACGAGAAGGAAAAACATTGCTTATTGTTGCTTTTCTTTACATATAATTCCTAGTTTAGAAGAATTATATTTTGGTCCAAGAGTTGTAGTTTACAGAAAAACAGTCTGCCTTGCCTCAGCAACCTACTTCAAGAAAACCAACAGTTTTTCCAGAATGCACATAGCACACCAGTTCCTCTGGGTAGATGAAGTGGTTCTGCAAATACTTCAACTAATAGGGTTAGATAGGTTAAGTCCAATACCAAACTGCAGCTGGAAGCATATTAGCAACTAAGACAGTATCTGTATCACAGATCTAGTGTGTTCCTGGCACACAGATAATACGTAATAAGTAATAAGTTATTTAATTGCTGCATTTTACACCAATTGTACCTTCAAATGGCCTTTAAAGGTAGCTCCACATAAAGCACATTGTGGGTATTAAATCAGGACAGGAGCTATAGCAATAGCACTTAGACTTATATACCACTCCATAGTGCTTTACAGCACTCTGAACTGTTTACAAATGTTAGCATATTGCCCCCATCAATCTGGGTCCTCATTTTACAAACCTCAGAAGGATGGAAGGCTGAGTCAACCTTGAGCTGATCAGGATTGAACTCCTGGCTGTGGGTAAAGTTAGCCTCCAATACTCCATTCAAACCACTTCAGTAAATATGTTTTCTGCTATAATCTGAATGGATATTGAGATGATAAATTGATTAGCCATTGATCATTACACTGTATTCCTCAAACATGTATCCTTCAACCCTAAAGAAATTCATTATTGTCAGCTTTTCAAAGTAGGAGTTGGCAGGAATGGAATGTACTTCAATGAGGTTTCAGTATTGCAACAGACACTTGAAAACCTATCAACTTTCTTCTAAGTTTCTCATATCACAATCAAGGCAAATTGTTTTGAATTTATTTCTCACGTTTTCTACTTTCCCAGCCCTCAGATATCTGTTTTGTAACTGTTCAGCATTTTTTTTCTCCCTTCTCTGAGTCAAACCCCTATTTCACCACAATCATCAAAATATTTCCTTGTCTTAGAACTCGCAAGTGCAACATTTCTGGCTAAATTTATCAAGGAAGTAGTATCCCTGTAATTACTAACACATCTGAAAGAGGCTGACCATTTCACTCAGGCTTTTGGCCAGCATATGAAACCAGGATTGCTTTGATCAGTTTAGAAGATGATCTACACAAGAACTGAATGTGGATTACAGAAACATTATTTTACTGGATTGCCCAGCAGGGCTGGGCCTTTCGGCCCTATTCTATCTACTCTATTTACTGTTACAGGATTGTGATGGGAGATGACTTTTGACATTGAAGTGCTTGGTCTTCTGTGTTCTTTTCCTACTGTTCAATCTCTACCTGAAATCATTGATAGCTGTTATATGGATTTCTCAAGAATGCAAATGGCAGGTAGTTCAGTTACTCTCAGAGGTTTAACTCCAAGGAAACAACTAATCCTTAGCCAATTGTTAAGTTCAATAATGCTGTACAAAGTAAACAAGCTGTAATTAAGTCCAGAGGCTATCGAGGATTGTTCATTAGCTCTTGGATTAATTTCAGCTTGTTGTGGGTGGGATTGTACTTTCTCTCAAAAAGCAGGTTTCTAGAAGCACTCCTTGACTCTGTGCTCTCTCCAGACAGACAATTCCCAACCTCAGTAGTGGCTACATAATTACATCTAGTGTGCCAACTGCAACTGAGCCAGATAGACCCCCATAGCAGTTGTCTGTATCTTAATTACATCCAATTTATCTAAAGCAATGTATTCAATGAAGGACTATTATTGAAATGCATCCAAAAACTTCAGGTGGATAAGTTAGGTGGATAAGCAATGAATAATACTAGAAGACTATGTTGAAAGACTTGCATGGTTGAGCACCATTTTTTCCAAATTAAAAGTCTTGGCTTTGGCCTTAATGAATTTTGAATTTAGCTTTCTAAGGAACCACCTATCTCAATATGAACCTACCTGTATCGGCTCTAAAGTAGCTGTTCCCCTTCCTCAGGAGTTGTTCTCACTCTTTCAACTTTTAGAAAAAGAGTCAGTATCTTCCTTTTCAGACCTATCTTTGCAATCTGAACTCTTGATTTTTTTACAAACTTAATCAAATCTTAAATACTTCTTTAGTTGCACTTTACTTTTTTAAAGAATGTGCCCTCTGGGTACAATGGTTGGATGCTAAGGAAATGAACGCCAAGACCAAGCTTGAAAAGAAAATGCAGAAATTGATTTGCTGCTGCAACTTTTTAACATTTAAGTCATGCAGCATTTATCATTTGCATTTAACTTAAAGGTGGAATAAAAACATTCCTTAATTTACCCCTTTCTCCAACAAATGCCAGCATGTTAAAAATAATAATTTTGAAATCTTTCCTATAATCCTAAAGCATATAGTCCTATAGTCATTTTTGAAAATTGTACTTAATGAGACAGGTCTTACCTGTTACTACTCCTTGGCCTGTCCACAACTGATTAGCAAGATCCATAGAAGTTAGTGACCTTTTCTGAGGTGTATCTGACTGAAAAAGATATATGGTGCTTTAAATTTGTAATATGCTTTGCTCCATTTGATAATTAGATATTAGATTAGAAACAAGGAGATCCAAGGTCTAGTCCTCCCTTAGTCATAGAACCAGGGGTGCTATTCAGCAGGTTCTGACAGGTTCTGGAGAACTGGTAGCAGAAATTTTGAATAGTTTGGAGAACTGGCAAATACCACCTCTGGATGGCCCCAGAGTGGGGAGGGAATGGGGATTTTGCAGTATCCTTCCCCTGTCACACCCACCAAGCCATGCGCAGAGAACCAGTAATAAAAAAATTTGAATTCCACCACTGCATAGAACCCATCATTCACTCATAGACCTAATTAGGATCTGGCTCTGTGATAAGTCAACGAATAAACAAGCCCCTTGTTTCATCATGCTTTGATAATTTCATTGTAAGAACAAGACTTGGGATGCTGTGGTCACAGTCATTCACGTCCTGGTATGGATTACTATAGCATATACTACGGTACTTAGGGCTGTCCTTGAAGAGTGTCTGGAAGCTTCAGCTGGTGCAGAATGTAGTGGCAGGGCAGTTATGTATGTGTGCCCCAGAACAGCACACATTATACTACTGCATGCTTGACTGCCACTGAATACAATTATGATTTATCATAAACCATGATCAACTTCAAGTCATGGTTATTGATAAACAATCTAGCTTATTAATATACTTTGTGAACTGTTCATAAACTGCAATCACTGGTTAATACACGATGACAAATTAAGATTAGGAGACAATTAAATGAGTAACTGGCAAGTTCCAGACATATCTGTGAGAATAGAAGGAGATGAAATACACATTTGTTATCTCACACATGCAACTTCGTTTTTTTGTTTGTTTGTTTGTTTGTTTTGTGGAGGGGTACAAGTCCCTGCAATTTTCTTGGTAAGGTTTTAGAAGTGATTTGCCGTTGTCTGCTTCCTGGGATTAAGAGAGAATGACTGGTCCAAGGCAGTGGTGAAATGTAAAATTTGTTACTACCAGTTCTGTGGGCGTGGCTTGGTGGGGGGGTAATATGACTGAGTGGGCGTGGCCAACTTTTTTTTTTTTTACCTTTTAAAACCATTTTTTCTACAACCTCTTCGGCTGAAGAGGTTGTAAAAAAAATGCTTTTAAAGTCTCTGATGATCCCAGCTGACTTGCCTGATCAGTAGAGGCTTTCTTTTTTTTTTTAAAGCCTCTGACGATCCCAGCTGACTTGCCTGATTGGCAGAGGCTTTTTTTCCTTTTAAAAACATTTTTTCTATAACCTCTTTGGCCAAAGAGATTATAGAAAAAATGCTTTTAAAAGCCTCTGATGATCTCAGCTGAGCCGCGCGATCATCAGAGGCTTTTTTTTTTTACTTTTAAAAGCATTTTTTTTTGGCCAAAGAGGTTGTAGAAAAAATGCTTTTAAAAATAAAAAAAAACCTATGATGATTGTGTGGCTCAGCTGGGCAATGGGGGAGGCAGAGATTTTTGCTACCGGTTCTCCGAACCACCCACCTCCATCGCTACCGGATTGGGCGATCTGGTCTGAACTGGGAGCATTTCACCCCTGGTCCAAGGTCATGAAGCTGGCTTCATGCCTAAAATGAGGCTAGAACTCACAGTCTCCCAGTTTCCAACCTGATGCCTTAACTACCAAATTGATTCTCATGCCATGTTTACAAACTTTCAAACCTACCCGGAACGTATGAGTTGTGTTGGGCCTTGAAAATTGATCTATTAAGACAGTTCGCTCTCTATGAGGTCGTCGTTCCAGACCGTGAGGTACTGCACTGGATATTCTGCTGTGAAGATGTTTTCCTCTATGCTGAAAATGGAAAGACAAAAGAAGCAACCAGTTATTGGATAGAAAAATTAGCAGTTGAAGTAAATACAATTATTGTACTCGGGCTGTGACATTATGTAACATCAATACATTTCTTTCCTTGAAAGCTTAAGGAATAATATGTCTATACAGTAGTCTTTGACATGACCACAATTGGGAGCAGAATTTGCATTGCTAAACAAGGTGATTCTTAAATGAGTTATTTTGATTTTACTTTTTCTGTGACAGTTGTTAAGTGAATCATGAAGTTGTTAAGCAAACCAGCTTCTCCCATTGTTGGAAGCCAGTCGAGGACCTCTAATATAACATTCTGATAGATTCTATATATGGTATCCCTTCCTGCAATACTACCCTGCACCAGGGCTCAAATAGTTCTGAAAGCTAATGCAGTATATACAGTATAGTCACCTAAAACTTCTGATTGATGAGCAAAACTCCCAAGAGAGGATTTGAACTTCATAGAATAAAGTCTGGCTATGAATATTCTAATGAAGCTGGTTATATCCTGCTTCCTGGTGGTCAATGTAACTGCTTTTCAATTGACTTTTTTATTGCCTCCTCACAAATAACTATTTTTTTAACCAGCTTCCGAGCACCTAGGCAAGCAGTTCTAAAATTACCTATTTAGACTTTTTCAAAGGAGCTTCAGATGGAGTTAACATGTTTTAGCATGAACAGAAAAAACTTTAATTGCAGAGTAATTTACTTAGTCTAAACTAAAGATAGGTTTTTATTTTCCCTTTTTCCTGGAATGTAGTTTCCTCTAATGTCCAATTTTTTTAAGATTTCTTTTTTACCCTGATTTTTTTCAAATATAAATCAAGATGGCAAACATACCTAATATTTCTTTCTCCTCCTACTTATTCCACAATAGCAAACCTATGAGCTGACTTGGACTGAGAGAAAGTGACTGGCCAAAAATGATTCAGATGGTTTGCATGCCTAAAATGAACACAGTCTCCTGCTATAGACCAACACCTTAACAACTACACCAATCTAAATAATAGTTTTCTTATCACTGTTACAAGTTACAGTAGCCAAAATAGCTTTGGTTCTTATGAAAGTGATTATTTATATTATTAGTTCCAACATCTTAAAGTAAATGTTTCAATATTCCAAATTGGTCTGAACCCTTAATTTTATAACTTTCTTGATTCAAAATCTTTAGCTTTTGTTTATTTCACATTCTTTACGTTCTTAAATTTATGGTTAATTTTTCTTTTGTTCAGAAACAAAAATAGATTCACCAGGTGACTTTTCAAACTTGTCATTCCAAAGACTTCTAATACTTTAAAATATTTAAATAAGCAGTTTCCAAAGTGATTAGAAGTGTAATTAGCATACTTAGTATCCAGTGGTGGGTTGCCCCCGGTTCTATAGAATCGGTAGTAAAATCAGCAGGAGGCTCCGCCCACCAACCTCTATGTCATCAGAATGCTTCTGCGCATCCGCAGAAGCTTCTGTGCATGTGTAGAAGCTTCTGTGCATGTGTAGAAGCTTCTGCACATGTGCAGAAGAGCGTGCACATGTGTGTGCAAAGCCAGCGCGCACGCGCAACCCTGTTGTAAACTGGTAGTAAAGGTAAGTAGAACCCACCCGTTAGTATCCTTTTAAAAAGTCTGCTGCAATTGTGAGATCTAAAATAAAATAAGATAAAATAGATCTATTTTATATACCTGAATAATTTATATAACAGACATAAGTTTTAGCTTCATATCAATCCTATTAGGCACAGAGGAAAAGTGCATTGTGTAAGAGTACTCAAGGAAGTTTCATTTGAAAGAAACTATGAATGTGTGGGTGGATATACTGTATACTTTTTGGGATTATGCAAAGATTTGATTAAAAGTTTTATTGGCAACTTCATCCAATACCTGATCACACTGCATTTTAATTAAGTTGGTTTTTTTTTTAATATGATGTGCACACCCTAGATTCTATAGAGATAGAGAGATATGAAAACAAGTATTCAATCATTCATGGCAGAAATAATGTAGATGTCTTACAAAGCTTAAGCGTAGTCCAGGAACTGAAAGGTATTGATCAATGATGTCTGAATTAATGGGTGGTAACTTGTTCCGGACAGCAGGTGTAAATGGAGATGGCAAACGATCTAAGGCAGTGCATCTGTAGGAAAGCAGCATGGACATAGGAATTAACTCTTATTTCAGTTCCTTAAACTGCTACAAGACTGCTTCTTAACCCAATATGGTGAATAAATAACAGTTCTGTTGCATTTATAGAAATATTAAATCAATGTTAATATTAAGTCAATCCAATATATCCAAAACTGCACTTCTGGAAATTCTGGATATTATAGTCCTAGCACATCTGGAGGGGCCAAACTGGGAAGGCAGAATCTCTTTGAAGCACAAGACATCCACTTAAAATTACACAATCTTAAGCATATCTTCCGGCTTAAAAATTTTAAGCATATCTTCCCGCTTAAAAATCTGGATCTTATTACTTTAGTTCCTAATACCTGCTTAGCTCTTTCATTACTCTTACTATTCTTCATATGTCTACTTTGTGCTACAAGTACAAAAAAAAAAAGAGGTCTGCATGAGCCAAATTTACTGCAGTGCTAAAAATGAGTAAATTTTGCAGGCTTGGTTACATTATTTAGATTAATTTGTTTCTAAGATCACAATGAGTCTTATTTTCATAGCTTGAAGGATAACATCTTTAGACTATATAGTTCTCTTCTAAATGCAGTGTTTGTGTCACACAATCACCAAATTATTTCTCAGTGCTGTCCAAATTCTATCATCTGAATTCAACATGATCAATACAGTAAGAAAGAACAGAAATAAAATCGTACAATTTTGTTCCTCGCAGGACTTCATCACTGTAAACATTGGGAGTCTTTAAACGTAGTTGGTCTTGTGCTATTGATGGTAACCTACGATGGCCCACTGTTTTCTTAGAGGATCCAGGCAACACTCGAGGTAATGATGAGACATTGCTATCAGTCATTCGTCCCCCTCGATTCTTTGCTGAATTAATACTAGAACCCACACCTTGTGGCTTGTCTTCTTGTTCATGCCTGAAAGACAGTTTCAACCAAACATCACTCCACTTATATAAAATTAAAGTCTTCAGCAACTTGAAGCTGAGTAGTAAGTGGATTAGCATTCCCCAAGAAAGAAATGCATAAATTTCAACACTGATGAATGATTCTGGCATCAGAGATAAGAAACTCACAAGTGTCTTTCTCCGAGTAAAACATAATAATAAGGAGAATTCAAGACCTTAGTGCCTTCCGCCGTGCCCTTAAAACCAACTTTTTCCAGCAAGCCGGGCTGGCTTAAGAAGAAATTTTAAATGTTTTAATTGGTTTGTATTTTTAATTTTGGGCCAAATTTATATATATTTTAATTGTTTTTTAATATTTGTATTTTATGTTTTTTAATTCTGGCTGTACACCGCCCTGAGTCCTCAGGGAGAAGGGCGGTATATAAATTTAAAATAAATAAAAATAAATAAATAAATAAATAAATAAACCCATTTAGCCTGACATCTATCTAATATACAGAAACATAGTTTATAGGTAAAACCAACAGCTAAATCAAACTTCAAAATCCTGTTAATAGTCTTTTTATTGCACAATTTAGTTACATTTTGGAAGGTGGAAGAAAGTACTTTGAGATAAAAATATGCATGACCAATTGTGTTTCTAGATACAGTTGCTTCAAACTTTTTATTTTGGTTATCATGGAAGGATAACACATTGTTCTTTGCTTGATTTATTATTTATTTATTTATTTATTTATTTATTTATTTATTTATTTATTTATTTATTTATTTATTTATTTTTAAATTTATATACCGCCCTTCTCCCTGAGGACTCAGGGCGGTGTACAGCCAGAATTAAAAAACATAAAATACAAATATTAAAAAAAAACAATTAAAATATATATAAATTTGGCCCAAAATTAAAATACAAACCAATTAAAACATTTAAAATTTCTTCTTAAGCCAGCCCAGCTTGCTGGGAAAAGTGGGTTTTAAGGGCACGATGGAAGGCACTAAGGTCTTGGATTCTCCTTATCTCTGGGGGCTGATTCCAGAGGGTAGGTGCCCCCACAGAGAAGGCCCTCTCCCTGGGGGTCACCAGCCTACTTTGATTGGCTGATGGCACCCTGAGGAGGCCCTCTCTGTGGGAGCGTACGGGACGATGGGAGGTCGTCGGTGGCAGAAGGCGGTCTTGAAGATAACTAGGTCCTATGCCATGGAGTGCTTTAAAGGTGGTAACCAACACCTTGAAGCGCACCCGGAAGACCACTGGGAGCCAGTGCAGCTCACGCAGGAGCGGTGTTATGTGGGAGCGCCATGCAGCTCCCGTAATTACCTGCACGGCCGCATTCTGGACCAGTTGGAGCCTCCGGGTGCTCCTCAAGGGGAGCCCCATGTAGAGAGCGTTGCAGTAGTCAAGGCGAGAGGTGACGAGGGCATGAGTGACTGTGCACAGGGAATCCCGATCAAGAAAGGGCCGCAACTGGCGAATCAGGCGAACCTGACAAAAGGTCCCCCTGGTTACAGCTGTCAGATGTTTCTCCAAGGACAGCTGCATATCCAGGAGGACTCCCAGATTGCGAGCCCTTTCTGTGGGGGCCAAAGACTCGCCCCCAATAGTCAGTGATGGAGTCAACTGACTATATTGGGATGCCGGGAGCCACAGCCGATCAGTCTTGGAAGGGTTGAGCTTGAGCCTATTCCTCCCATCCAGATCCGCACAGCCTCCAGGCACTGGGACATCACTTCAAGGGCATCATTGGCCTGGGGTGGAGATGTACAGCTGGGTGTCATCAACGGACTGGTGGTATCTCACCCCGAAGCCACGGATGATCTCGCCCAGCGGCTTTACATAAATGTTGAACAGAACATTCTGTTCAACAGAATGGACCAATCCCTGCGGCACTCCACAGATGAGAGGCCTCGAGGTCGACCTCTGCCCCCCTGCCAACACGAACTGCGACCGGTTGGAGAGAAAGGAGGAGAACCACCGCAACACGGTGTCTCCCATCCCCAACTCTTCCAGCCGGTGCAGCATGATACCATGGTCGATGGTATCAAAAGCCGCTGAGAGATCTAACAGGACCAGAACAGAGGAGCAACCCCTGTCCCGAGCCCTCCAGAGATCATCAACCAACGCGACCAATGCCGTTTCCGTGCTGTGCCCAGACCTGAAACCTGACTGGAATGGACCTAGATAAGATGTTTCCTCCATGAATTGTGGGAACTGTCGCGCGACCACACTCTCCACAACCTTCGCCATGAAGCGAAGGTTGGAGACAGGACGGTAGTTGGCCAATATTGCCGGATCCAGGGACAGCTTCTTGAGGAGAGGCCTCACCACCGCCTCCTTCAAGGCAGCGGGGAAGTGGCCCTCACTCAGCGAAGCGTTGATAACACCCTGGAGCCAGCCTCGTGTAACCTCCCAGGAAGCCAGTACCAACCAGGAGGGACACGGGTCCAGTAAACATGTGGCCGCACTAAGTCTCCCCAAAATCCTGTCCACATCATCGGGAGTCACAGCGTCAAACTCCTCCTAGATAACATTCTCAAGACTATTCCTCGTCACTCTGCCCTGATCTACCCAGTCAGAGTCCAAATCCCCCCGGATCGGAGCGATTTTGTCATACAGGTATTGTCCGAAATCCTCCGCCCTGCCTTCCAAGGGATCCTCCCGCACTCCCGGATGGAGCAGGGAGCGGGTCACCCTAAACAGGGCGGCCGGACGATTCCCTGATGACGCAATAGAGGTGGAAAAGTAATTAAACTTTGCCGTCTTTATCGCCACTAGGTAGGTCTTAATATGCGACCTTACCAGTGTTCGATCAGATTCAGCAAGACTGGCCCTCCAACCGCTCTCCAGGCGTCTTTTCCCGGTGCTTCATTTCCCTCAGCTCCTCAGTAAACCAAGGAGCCGCACGGGATCGGCACCGGGTCAGAGGCCGCAAAGGCACGACTCGGTCCAAGGCCTGTTGGGTAAACAGTGGTCTAGAAATTTATAAATTGTGTGTCTGCTTTGCAAAAGGGGAGAACTTATTAACTTGGAAGTATATTTATCAGTGTTCAACTAGGGGGGACAATTTATGTACATAAAGTATTCATACTGTATGTTTGTTTTATTTTTCATGTTATGCATTCTTTTTTGTGTAGTCTACTTTAGTTGTGTTTTGTTTTTGTATTTTTCTTTTTTGGAAGTTTTTACTTTAATATTTTGAATAAAAATAAAATTGATGATCTACTTCAATCAGGTATGTTATTCCTTTTATCATTCCTTTTATCATTTTATAAACCTGGTCTATAATCATAATAAATGTTAACAATCTAACTAAAATAAATAAGGCCAGAAATAAATAGACCAATGTAGCCTATACAAAAGTGTGATTTTATAAGGAGATCTTTATAAAACATACTTTTCAATGAAGCTTGAATGTCTCTGTTGTAGTGGTTTAGCTTGAATTGTCATGACACCATTTAAATTGCCATGTGAACTGCTGGAGAAACGGTGGGCCTAAAGAAAACAACAGAAACAAACACAGATATGTCATTCAATGTCAGAATATAATTATTCCCTTAAATAGTCTTAATATTATAAAGAAAGAAGAAGAGGAAACAAACCTAACCCTCCCCAGAACCGAGCATGGGAATATTATTGTCCAGTTTATTTTTAGTCTTATTTTCCCCCAAAATGTTAGAAAGAACCATCAGCCACTAGATAACTGCTGCCTTCTGCATTAAATTAACTATATACAGCACAGCTTATTGAATTTTTTAAAATTCTAAAGAAAGCATGTAGGACCCTGTTCTGGATTGAGTCCACTGTGTATAAAAATGGGAAATACAAAACTTCTTTAGCAGCATCTTTCTTTGTAAAAGCCCCATGCACTCTAAATTGACTCAGGTGAATAAAACGTTTTATGTAACAGTTAAGAAATATTCAAGACTTTGGGAACAATTTTGTTTAGTATGATCTTTATGATCTCTCCAGAATATGGCAGACATGTTTTTATTTATCTTTTAAATACGGTAATGTGAATCTTATCCCCTTGTTCTAAAAAAAACCATTGGGCTTTGAGTTCTTACAGTTTTTAAAACTTATTTTAGCATTTATTACTTTCTGAATAATAAATTATTACAGAACAAATGTAATAATTAAATAAATTAAAACATAATTACTGCAAATGTTCTGTTGCATACTTACAAAATGGTGTCATGGAACAGTTATGAAATTAAATTCAAGTTATAAAATAAATAAATAAATATTTAACTTATTTTTATTTACATTAATCTCTCTTGCATGGCTTATTCATACATGCACATATTTTGGGCCTTAGACATGTTGATAAATTATCCTGGTTGAATATATTATAATATTTTTCTTTCATTATAATATTGTTACTCATTATAATATTGTTGCTCCTACTATGTTGCTCAAAGGCCAAAAGACAAAGAAAAAGAAAGAATGATCAGAAAAAGGCTTAAGCACCCAAGAATTATGGAGACAAAGAAACAAAGTAAAAGGAAACAACTAAATACATGAAGGATAGATTGTTAATTCTTAGCATGACAATTTTTTGTATTTTCATGAAAAGATATTATTTTACCTGGGATTGTCCAAAATGCAGACCAAAAGATCGAACCTCTGACCCTCTGGATGGAGGAACACTTGATGTATCTACCATAGCACGGGAGGGTGGAATATGTGACAACTTATGTCCAGTAACTTTTGATTTCTCCGTATGCTTGAAATTTTCTAGATCATTATTACATAAAAATAGTAAATATACACGCATAAATCAGACAATATCAGAACCCTCTTAGTTTGCTTCAACTTTGAAAGCAATGCATTATTAATAATTATTAATAATAATCTGTCACTTTCTCTACTCAGCTGCCAGGATGATACAATGCTGCTTCCTAAAATTGGTAGGTAGGTGGTTTTTCTGGGGGAACGGGCAGGAAACTGAAGCTATTCTGTCAATAGCACACCAATATTCTATGACTTTCATGGCTCAGGACTGGGAAGGTTGTTTTATTTTTGTTCAGATAGAGAAGGTGTTACCGCATTTATTTATTTTATTTTAAAAAATTATATAGTCATCCATTTAAAAACTAATTCTAGGCAGCTCCTAATCAAATATAAAAATCATAATAAAACTATAAAACTAAATACATGTAAAAATTAAAACCAACTAAAATTTGGCACCAAGTCATATATCCTCGCTTGGGGGGAAAATCAGGTCTTCAAAGTTTGATGGAAGGTCAGGAGAATTGAGGCCTGCTCAACTTCAGGGGGGAAGAGTGTTCCATAGGGTAGGGGCTGCCACAGAAAAGGAATATTGTTGACTGCTTTGGAACAATTTACTTCCACCTAAACTGGCGTTTTTATCTCAGCCTAGTAGATCCCCAGGGCAGAGACAAGACAGTTGACCCAATAGCTCCTGAGGTGTCTATCCTTGCTTTGTGAGCCGAAAGGATTTCTTTCACAGAGTTCAAAACAAGGATACGGTAAGATGACAGAGCCATCCGATAGCTAAAGCCCACATTAAGGTTTATGCCAAGGCTCTCAAAGTGACAAAGCAACTGTTTTTTGCAATTGCCTCTTTTGCACATCCAGAAGAGCTATTTTAAGAGTTTTGTTATCAAGGACCTATTAAAATGGAAGGGGAAACTTCATTGCTTTCTGTGGCATGTCTGGTAAATACCCGCAAACAGAATTGTTTATGTTTGTCCCAATTTTGGGTTTGTTGATTATAACAGATCCTAGTTACCTATTAAATAGTAACTGCTATGGATAATTTTCATTCATCCAGCCTAACGACATGAACAAAATTCTTGGTAAGATAAGACCAATCCAGTCATACTTGTCTCTGGAATGGGACAATTTGGTATGGCCAACTTGCTGTAGCCATTTCGCCATGGCCATCTCACCACAGCCAACTTGCCATGGGACAAAAATGGAAATAATGTCAAAGAAACTGTGGCAGATAACATTTATTGCATTGAGTTATCCTGCATGGAATTGTATGTGGCAAGTTGTCCCACAGTGAATTGGCTGCAGCAAGGGCAGAAGTTGGCCATGCTGAATTGGCTATGGCAGCAAGTTGACCATGGTGAGATGGCCATTGCAAGTTGTCCTAACCCTCTTGACTCATGACCCTTCTTCCTGATTATGGTAAGTCAACCAGGTAGAATGGTTCAGCCTGTCTTTAAAATGTTCTACTTACCTGTAATAGATGATTCCCAGTATTTTCTTATTAATTCTTCCAGTATTTTAATTACATTTTTCCAGATTTGATCAAACACTTCAGCAGTCACAGCGTCTTTGATGCAGGAGTTGGGAGAAACAGGAGGAATGCCGTGTTTAATTTGTTTTTGGGCAAGTTGAGCATTTCTTTGTTCTAAACCTTCATCATCACTAATAAAAGAAGTAAATTAAAGTTTTATTACTAAGTATTATTAATTATTACTAACAACCTTGTCAATTTAATCAAAGTCTCTTTTGATCAAAGTATTGACCCACAGTATTATTTCAGAACTTGTCAAGTTATAAATTATGATTTTACCACATTTAAATTCCACCAAGACTCAGCGGTAAATGCATGTGCCCATAAAAGCTGTATTTAATACACACAGGAAACATGATTCTCACAATTTGTGCTGTACAAATTGGCCTTCAGTATTCATCACTTGATCACATATTAACAATACAAACAATATTGCAAAATATTCTTCCCTCATTTGATTTTGGATTAAATAAATCCAATAGAAAATTTCTACTTCTTTTCAGAAAAACTGTTATATATACTGAGGAAGTAGTACAATATTAATAACATAGTAGGATTAGTAGGCCTTTGAACTATGGTGCTGGGGAAGACTCCTGCGAGTCCCTTGGACTGCAAGGCAATCAAACCGGTCAGTCCTAGAGTAGATCAACCCTGACTGCTCTTTAGAAGGCCAGATCCTGAAGATGAAACTCAAATACTTTGGCCACCTAATGAGAAGGAAGGACTCACTGGAGAAGAGCCTAATGATTGAGGGCAAAAGAAGAACGGGACGACAGAGAATGAGGTGGCTGGATGGAATCACTGAAGCACTCGACGTGAGCTTAAATAGACTCCAGAGGATGGTAGAGGACAGGAAGGCCTGGAGGAACGTTGTCCATGGGGTCGTGATGTGTCAGACACGATTTCACGGCTAACAACATAGGATTAGTATTTTATATATTTCATATATTCTCAGCAATTTTCAAGACAAATGATTTTATAGTAAAAGGTTTCTGACAAATTTATTTCATGTTGTTTTGCCTAATTGACCAATTCCAATAAAACCAAGAAAAGCATGCATGATTGACATGAAATTCTTCAACAGCTTAATTGCTTAGGCTTCAAACACAAAAATGATTGGTAGAGCTTTTTAACATTGCTTTGCTCATGCAAACAATCTATTGGGAAAATAAGTTTTTAATTTTTGCCTACCTGATCTTAAAAACCTCTGATTGTTAAATGACAAATGACATTTTAACCATTTGTGTTTAAATTAGCTAACATTATTAGGAAGAAAAAGCAAGTGAAGGTTACATTTTGAAAACAGCTTCAGTCTTGAACAGGCTGTCAAACACCCGGCCCATGCGCTGGCCACGCTTACAACCAGTTTAGCGAAGGGGAAAAAAAGTCCCAATATGTCACATGACACTGCCGTGATGACATGAGTTTGTCATCCCTGGTCTAGAACATATTATCAATCACAATCATTGACATTCACTGATTTAAAGACAAAATAATTTTGCCTGCAATTTTCTGCTACCAAAGATGCTGCTTAGAGACACAAGCAAAGATAAGTCAAGTATATATAGATAATTTCATAAAAAGTCTGATTTTTCCTTAGTCTTAATTATTTGTCATGAAAGCTTTTAAAATTGAACATTTACATTTCTTTCTTGTCAAATGCAAAATATTCTTCCATTTTTCCTTCTGCATCATAAATTTCTTCCTCCAAGAACGAATATCCAGGTGAATCAGGTAAAGAAATCTCTGTTAATTTGGAGCTGAATGTTTTGTGCACTGGAAAAGCTGCAGGTACCAGTTTTGATCCTGAGATGCATAACCTAAATTATGGTACACAAGCGAAAAAGAATAATGTTATTTTTTTTTTGTAAGAGTAATACTATAAGCTATTAGGGTAACTTATTAAAATTTCCAAGCATAATACACAGAAAAAAACAATTTATATCAACAAAAAAATAAGAATAAAACTTCTCATTAAATAAAATTCTAATGAAGATTAGACTCTTATAGCCTTTAATGTGCTTTGAACACCTTACAGAACTTGCCTTATCTGTACTCAAATGTTTTCCAATTTCATTAGTACAGTGCTAACTTATAACTTTGTTAGGCATCTCCAACATATTTCTGCTTATTGTTTGGTGGTAAGTATCATGACACACCTGATACTACTATTGTAGCTGGCAAAATGCTGCATCATAGGGCAACAATTTTTGAAACAAGGTACCTCCAAAGGGCTTGCTTACAGAATGTGTCCAAATTCTGGAACCCGTGACTCCCATGGAATTGAAACTTGGCAAATTTGTAAAACTTTTTATGACATAAAAATCCCCAGGAAGCATTTTATGACATGATACAAAATGCTATGAACATTCTTTCTGATGTTTGACTATGTATACAGTTCAACACGGGATATTTTAAAGATAGAAACATCTCTGAATTTTTCCTAATTTCTCAAGACCTTTTCCAGTGAAGGAAGTACATTACAAGCTCTGCCATTGTTGAGGGCATTGGAGAATCTGGTAAGGAAATTACCCCTACCCCAGGGCTTGGCTGAGGGTTGTAAGGGCAGAGGAAACAGTATATGCCTATATTACATGTGAAAAGAAGAATGACCTAATAGATCATGGATTAGTCTAGTTATCCTGTTCAACCATATAACCCTGCCTTCAACAAAATATAAGCCTAACAATATAATAATATGCATAACAATCTCTAGCACGTTTCAACAGTTGTTTCATTTCTTGCAAATTCTGTTATGTTATCCCATGCAATATTTCTGAAATTTAATTACTGTATAATCTATTTTAAAAGTACCTTTCCCCATTATTAAAAAAAGCACTTAGTGCATGAAATACCAATATGCTGCTTCTGTTCAGTTGAATGTGGTTGTTTAATACATTGGGAGTATAACATAATCTTAAAACGTCAATCATATATGTCAATGAATAAATATCTATTAAATTGATGACAACATACTCTCTCATACTGGTGTTGATTTCACTCAAACTAGGTACAGATTTCGAATACACAGAACTAGAACTTCTGCTCTGATAATGCTGAAAACCCTCATCTTTTGGAAAAAGAAGCTGTTTTCCCAAAATCCTGTAAAAAAAATGACAATGAAATAAAGAAATTGAATATAGACAGAACAGTTCAATTCAACTTGATATAAAACCAGAAACATAGAACCAACAGTCAGTGGCAGCTACTGTTATATAACTGAGCTCTGATTCAAACTATAAGGGACTTGTAATTTAAGCCAGTGCAAAAAAGTATATTGAGTAAAAATACATGCAGAAAATAATAATATAATGCAAGGACTCAGATGAAATAAATTTTATATAGACTTGCCTTAAGTGAAGTGATCTATTTGTCCAGTCTTTGCATTCTGTCTTTAAAATCTCAGTTTGGGAGCTCACTTTTCCTTCAAACAGCATTTCATCCACATCCCAAAACAACTGATGCACTCTCTGGGTGTTTGCTTTATCAAACTCCTGTGGATTTTAAAATTAAGATTCTCAAACACTACTTCCACATAGCTTTGCAGCTGAATAAAATTGCAGTACTGTAGATATTGGCCAGTGATGAGCCTGATTTTAGTCTGAATCTAGCAGCTTCGAGATGAAGATACAGTATTTGTTATCCTAAATTCATCTAAGGAGTGTGTTGCATTGCAACCCCTTTCATATCCACTCAATCCATCTGGGGACCACCCAGTGTAGATAATGCACATAGGTAACGAAAAAAACACACAAATACAGCAAACGGGAATAAAGAAACAGAGAAATAACAACAGGAAGGAAAGAAGCTTAAGAGAAAATACCTTTGGGACACAAAAAACCAAAGAAGACTAGGCTAAATTAGAGAAAGAAACAGAGCATTCCTTGAATTCATTCAAACTTCTTTAACAGAAATGACCATAGGTGGAATCTTCTGTATAGTGAAATACAGGTAGACCTCATTTAGTGGTCGCTAAGCAAAACCATGACTGTGCATATAAATTTCAGCTTTCCTTTGCTTTACAAACCTGCTGTAAATGTGAGAGCTAGTTTTTAAAGTCATTTTTTAATCGCTGTCATAACTACAAACTGTCACTAAATGAGGCAGCTATATAGGACTATTTATTACATGTCGTGTCAGCGTATGTGAGTTTGTTTGTTTCTGCTCCCTTCCCTTTACAGTGAGTGTGTTTCTAGTGCACTAGAAAACAAGCTGCATTTTCTCTGCTCTGTGTCAGGCTCCTGTGTGAGCAGGGCGTTGGACTAGATGACCTCCAAGGTCCCTTTCAACTCTGTTACTGTTAACAGGTTAACAGGGGACAAAACAGAAGGGTGAGCTGAGAACCAGCAGTCCTCTGAGCCCATGCCCCTATTGCGCCTCCTATAAAAATGCCCTGAGGTGATTTCTTCTGTTTTTCTCAATTATATCAAGACACATCTGGCCTTTTTTTTTTAGCTTTCTCTCATCATATTAAATTTGGTCCCATTTTTCAAAGTTATCCTACTGACAGACAGGAAGACACTGGAAATAAATTACATAGTTTATTTCTTGTGATCTATTGGGTTGGCAATTAAAGAGGTAAATAACAGAAAGAAAGCTAGATTATGTAACAAAGAGTAGGAACGACAATCAATTTAGGAAATGAACAAGGCCTTGAATATACAAATAGTTTTGGAAAGAGTGGACCAGAACATCAGCAAAGACCAAGAGGAAATGAAGGAAATGAGGAGAAGAAAAAGCAAAAAAATAAATAAAAATCCTACTTAAAAGGACATTCATGGAAGAATTCAGTGGGTGGCATTCTTCTGCCAAAATTAGAAACAAACTGACTTCAAATACCAGTTGCTGGGAATGAGGGCAGGAAAAGATTATTGCTTTTCTGTTCTGCATGCAAATTGGCCTTGGTGACAAAATGGTTTGGTTGGGTCTCTGCTATTATGAGCCTTTCCTTTCTTATACAGCTAAAATAGGAAGGAAGGAAGGAAGGAAGGAAGGAAGGAAGGAAGGAAGGAAGGAAGGAAGGGGGAAAAATTAGTAGAATAGAATAGAATAGAATAGAATAGAATAGAATAGAATAGAATAGAATAGAATAGAATAGAATAGAATTTTTTATTGGTCAAGTGTGATTGGACACACAAGGAATTTGTCTTGGTGCATATGCTCTCAGTGTACATAAAAGAAAAGATATGTTCATCAAGAATCATAAGGTACAACACTTAATGATAGTCATAGGGTACAAATAAGCAATCAGGAAACAATATCAATATAAATTGTAAGGATACAAGCAACAAAATTACAGTCATGCAATCATAAGTGGAAGGAGATGGGTGGTGAGAATAATGAGAAGATTAATAGTAGTGCAGATTTAGTAAATAGTTTGACAGTGTTGAGGGAATTATTTGTTTAGCAGGGTGATGGCATTCGGGAAAAAGCTGTTCTTGTGTCTAGTTGTTTTGGTGTGCGGTGCTCTATAGCATCGTTTTGAGGATAGGTGTTGAAACAGTTTATGTCCAGAATGTGAAGGGTCTGTAAATATTTTCACAGCCCTTTTTTTGACTCGTGCAGTATACAGGTCCTAAGTGGAAGGCAGGTTGGTAGCAATTGTTTTTTCTGCAGTTCTAATTATCCTCTGAAGTCTGTGTCTGTCTTGTTCGGTTGCAGAGCCAAACGAGACAGTTATAGAGGTGCAGATGACAAATTTACCAACAAAGAGTGACCAAAGGAAATACATGCACAAGATGAGTGAGATTAATTAGAAGCAGAAAAAGATATATATCAAATGGGAAAAACTGGTGATATGAATCAGCTGAAAGAGAATGAGAAAAGTGCTTAGACAAAGACTGAATGAATGAAACGAAGTTTGAATGAGTAAATTCAGAAAGAATGCAAGACCTGTGAAGAACAGGATTTATTTAACCAACATGTGCTGCAGAACAAAAGCTACATGGAAAGAGCTTTTCATCATTGACAATTATGTTTTAAAAAGCAGAATTAGGGCAACAAGCAACAGCAGTATCTAAGAGGAATAATATCAGAAGAATTTATATTCACTAGCGATGATGATTAAGAACAAGGTAACCTTAAAAGCGGAAATAGATTAGAAAAAATAAAGAACAGCTGAGAAAAAGAATGGCTAAAATAACCCATAGTTTAGTCCAAGAAGCTCAAAGAAGCACAGGATATGTACACTCTTCTCAAAGTTTGCTTATCATCCTGACTTTAATACAGATAGTCCTTGCTTATGAACCCTAATTGGGACAGACAACTTTATCACTAAGTGAAATGGCATTAAGCAAAACATCATGTGATGCTGCATAGCAAAAACAGTCCCACAAGTCCTAGTAGTCATTAAGTGAATTACATGGAGTCATTAAGTGAAACCACATCACAGTTACTTGTGACCTCCTGCCAGTTTCCCTCTTGACTTTGCTTGTCAGAAGTTGGCTGTGGCAAATGCTGATCATGTGCTGCACAATGCTGCAACGATAAAAACGTGTGGCGTTGCCAAGCGCCCAAATTGTGATCATGATTGTGGAAGCACTGTGACAGTCATAAGTATGAGGATGAGTCATAAGTTACTTTTTTCAGTGCCATTCTAACTTTGAACAAATAGTTGCTAAGAAAGGATTATCTGTACATTCTTTTACATAATGTACTTATTTTTATTTTATTTTTCTTCCTAGGTATGGAAATTTATAAGATGATTTTAAAAAACTTTTAACACTGATAAATATAAACTATATTCCTTCATAGTTCTTAAATAGAGAACCATTATTTAATGTTAATTTGGGGTTTTGTTTTTGTTGTTATTCTTTTTTGTGCTTTCAAGTCATTCTTGACTCCTGGCAACAAGTCCCTGAAATGTTCTTGGCAAGGTTTTTCAGAAGTGGTTTGTCATTGATTGCTTTCTAGGGTGATCATCCTGTTGGCTAAAGTGGGACTAGAACTCAGGGTCTACTCTCCTGGTTTCTAGCCTAGTGCCTTAACCACTATACCAAATTGCCTCTCATAATGTTGGTTAACAACCTAGATCTTTTACCTGGAACAAACTGTGATTTCAAAGATACTGATTAATTAACCAATATTTAGCTAGACTTTGCCAATTAAACTTGGAATGGACCAGAATTAATGTACCCAAATTGAAAATAAGAAGAGACAAGACTGTGAATCTATCTAAAAAATTAAGTTTTATTCAAACAAATATTAAGCTCCAGTTACCAGAAATCTCAACCATATTTTTACACACATTTTATACCAATTTTACTAATAAAGGTTGACCTACATCATCACCCCAGGAGTAAACAGAACTTCTTTCAGTAGATGGGCCAGTGGTATAGCTCTGTATCCCTGACCAAGAGTTATTCAAATCTGTGGGTGTTGTTTGTCCGCTTTGTGAAAGTGAGGAAACAGAAGCCCTGTTGATAGAAACAAAATTTAAATGCAATGTTATGGATTAATAAAACATGACCAGGAGATCCCAAGGCAGTAAAAGATTGATAATTAATTTGCATCTACTAACTAGTATAGCAAATACAGATGTTATTGGCTTACATGGCAGAAAAGCAACGACTTCTTCATTGGATAATGGAATATACATTTGCATATTCATTTCCATATGCAAACCTCAGGGACAGATTTGTTGTAAAGGAACAAATTTACATAAGTCTTATACTTAATTGCTCTCCCAGGAACATCTCTCCTGGGTACCTATGGTGGAAGAGGAGCAGATGTCAGGTACACTGCTTCTACTCCCTGAGACATGCATTTTATAATTATGTAAACGATGGCATTGTTTTCCCCAATATGAATGCTTGGCAATTTTATAAGTTGTTATAATTTTATTTTAGTTTTTATATTTTAAAGCCATGTAGAGTTGCAGCAATGATTCTATAAATGAAATAAAATTTAAAAAGTATTTTTTGCTCTTGTAATAGATTTTGGTATTGTGTACTATGGATTTAAATTCAGCAGTCTGTAAACTATCTAAGTAGTTATGTGCTGCAGTCTTGAGAATACAATTAGCAAAATCAATGTAACTTCTAAGCAGTAGATAGGGAGGGAGATATCTATTCATCTTTTTTTGAGTTTAATAGAACTTATTCTAGTAATTAGTTTGTAACTATATCTTTCAAAATAGTCTTTAATATGTAAATAAAGTTTTTCAGGTTTTTTTTTTGGATCTACCTTGATTCTTGGTGGACAAGTTTGTATTACCTTATTAGCAATAATTTGAAAGTGTTTAGCCACCAGGATAGCTTTTCAACCTCTTAACTCAATCTACAGGAAGTTTGGCTAGGTGTAGAATTTTGTGGCATATTAAAAGGTTCATTCAGGTGTAGGCACACATACATATTCAGGAGAGAAAGGAAAACAAATAAAGGTAAGGTCAAAAGTGCACAAGATGTTAATGTGCAACTGCTATTAAAGTAACAGAACCTGTTATCTACAGGACTGTTACAGGAGGGAATCTAACATTATTTTAATTGTATCTTTGTTTCCATTTATCTAGTGGTGTCTGGAGGTGGAGGACACAAGATGAGCAAGATAGTGAAAGTGGCTTTGAGATCCAAGCCCAGCCATTTTTACAGTATATCAAGATCACATACATGTAGGAAATGACAAATCTTACATGATGATGCTATATTTATTCTTTGTCTTCCAGCAGCAGCATTCTAGAAATAAATATTAAGGGTATTTCTTCAAATATTCATAGTAAAATGGTCTCTTGATTCCAGCACCAATTCCAGGCCTCCAAAATGAACTGTACATAGTACTATGGATGTTCTAACAAGACCCATTTTGTGGAAGTTTCCTTTTAAGATTATTTTCAGTGCTAACTATACAGTGTTTCAGGCAAACTTTTTTCATGCACCAACCACCTGAATCTGGAACCATCTCATGCAAAGCATAGGCTTTAACCCAGAACTACCATCTCTACTACATATCAAATCCAAGCAATATTTCAACACTGTATGTATTTCAAGTCACAGGAAGGAAATCCTTCTAGAGCTTGTGACTTTTTAATTTCCAGATAAGCCACACTATGAATTGCTTTAAAGATGTTACACGTTGAAAATTGCCATGCTAGATAGAGAGTGGAGTGGGGAAGCAGAGAATGTTGAAGTGTTGTGCTCTTTGAAATAAAATCTGTCTTCTCATATCAACTTATTCTATGCATCTATTCACCTTTTAACAATAAAATGAGATAAATATTGAAGAAATATTTATTGCAATTTCAGAAATTAATACATACAAGGAATAGTTGTCAATTGCTTCTTGTACACTTTTTGTAAAAGGTGCTGGAAGGCAATATTCATTCTTTGCTTGGAAATGATGGTCCACAAGTCCTTTTGACAGCCCTTTTCTGAAAGAATTAGATGCAATTAATTCTAATTTAGGCCTTCTTTTCATTCATAACTTCACAATGTACATTTCCTTTTACAGTTGATGAACACTTTTATCAGCATATTGATGATATCTTACCCCATGGTGACGGATGATCTCACCTGTTTCATGTAGATATTAAACACGAGCAGAGAAAGCACTGATCCTTGAAAGCACTGACTCATAGCAGGGATCAAGGGTCAGATCTCTTGCTACTGAGTTCATTCTTTGTCTTCCACTTGTAGCATTCTAGACATCACTTGATTTGCTTCATCTCTCTTAGTTCTTCCATATATATCACAGGGCTTGATGAGATCCATGGGTCGAGAGAGATTGCTTATCTAATCATATCAAAAACACTCCTATCCCGGGTGAAACTACGGTTTCATCAGGTCTATGGAGCAGATCTTCAGTTATAACCCCTGGCTCCCTCTGAAACCCATTAAGGTCCATCAGTCATGGAGGGCAGATCAATTAATAGGTTCCATCTCCCTGCAGAGGGGTATGACCTAGAGAAGTTCATAGCTATCTATGATAGGATTGTGCAAGGGGACCAGGGATAGGTCAACCAATTCCAAATCACAATGACACCGCTTTGACAAGAAGATCAAATCAGGTGGGTGATCATTACTTCTTGCCTGGATGACTGGAAGCCCACAGAAGTCATGGCCTCCATAAATTCCTGAGTTACTATACCTCCTAGGGAAGGCAGATTGAAGTCCCCTGAACCATTAGCAGGACCTCCAGCACCAACCCTGCAATAAATGCTAGGTGCTCAGGCAGAGAGGCTGCTGCACGGTAGGGTGGCTGGTACAATAGCAGAAATCCTGACTAGTCCCTAGGCCTAGGGCCTACCCTAAGGAAAATGGGCTCATAATTGGTCACTTATGGATAACATTATAGCACATAATACATAACATTGCAGCATATCACATTAAAACAATAATAATATGGATTGTTTTTTAAAAATTATGTAATTTTAAAATGCATGTGAAATACTTTGAGCATTCACAAACAGTATAGATATGCAAAATTATCAAACCAAGTAAACTTACTGTTCATGTATTATACCATAATGCTTAGCCAGCTTATTTTTGAAGGAGATAAAAGTAAATAGTTATTGTATTACATCCCCCTTACCCCTTACCCTCAAAATCAAGGAATGGGGTTAGAAAAAGATATAAAAAGTACCCGCTTTGGGGATCTACTTTTCTTTTATAATTACAAGATACACCAAGTATAAAGAACGGGGTAGGATCCAATATCTTAAAGCCAAGCCATATAAATGCACTTCATGCACAATTTGTAAAATTAATTTGTCTCCAGATATTATGGCATGGCAACTCTAATAACTCTGAGACTGGCCTTGATGCAGAAAGGCTATAATTCTATCATTCTCCCAATATATCTAAATTTTTGTTCTGCAGCTATGTAAGGGCTATACCTATATACAAATTAATAAATCTGATAACATTCTTAAAGGGCAGTTATATTTAACATTTGGTGCTGAATAATACATGTTAAATAACTTCTCACAAAAATAAAAATTTTACATGTTACCATTTAGATAAACATCTGTGAAGTACAAGTTGTATATTTACCATGGCCCACAAAATTGTTACTAATTAACCTATTCTTCCAGAGGACATATTAAGGAAAAAATATACTACTTCCTTATCAAATCACAGCATTAGATTCTTCTCAGACATATATTCTCTTGTATTAAAGAGAGAGAATATAGATTATCACAATACAGTATACTGTATGAAAAGGAATGAAACTTAATACTCTTAACCAAACTCAAAGGTTTTTCCATTTTTTTCTAGATAGATTGACCTGCACTATGTGACACTGTTTACATCATAAGGGGGTTTGTTGCCATTTGTTTTTGGAATATTTGCTCTGAATAAAAGTGTCAATGAGGCAATGAACCTGAGCCTTGTCCTTAAAAACTCTTAAGGAAAAAATAATGCAAAATGTCACCTAAAGCAAACTATTTTGTCTTTAGACTTTTCAGGATCATATTGATATCCCTCTTGTTTGCGGTGTATTAACTTACACCTTCAGAATTGTGCTGTGATATTTAGCTAATTATAGAAAATGAATTGTTCACAAGCAAGCAGCCCACCAACCTAAAATCTGAGCCACAACCTCAGAAAGTGCCACACGATGTATCCAGAGAAGCTTGCTTCCTTAACCCTCCCTTCCCAAAAGGATGGGGCATAGAGGAGCTGAAACAAAATGCTGTAAATATATGCCGATAGGAGAACGATCAAACAGTAGAATACGCATAGATGAATTCACATATATAGATGCATGCATCCACACCCATCTTGAACTAACACACTGCACCCTCACCCCTCCTGACTTACCCTATGACAATCAGTTCTGGCTCCGTCTCCTGCTGATGGGAGCTAGCAGCACCAGGCAGGCTGCAGGGACATCGTACACCACTAGCAAAGCGCATGGGAAAAAACAGCCCACGAAGCCCCCCTGCTCCTCCCTTTGAACAAACTCGGCTCTCTCTGTCTCACTCTCGCTTATTCCCAGAGAATCCTTTCATTTCTGCATGTTGTCATCTGTCTCCTTCCCAAAGAGAGACTAGCGAATATGCACGCATGCCAGTGCCTTAAAGTGTGTGATGTGGGAGTGTATATGAAAGAGGAGGAGAAAGAAGGAATGGCTGCAGTTTTAAGCTTTCCCCAGTTCTGTTTCTTCGTATATTCTCTCCCAGAATTCTCTTTTCAAGACATGGTTACCAGATAAAAACACATCTTTGAAAGATTCCAAAACAGTCAAAATCAAAGGGAATAAGCAACGGAAAATAGATCTGCAATTTTACTGTGAAATCTTACCTTTCTGCAAAAAATGATTGATTTCTGTATTTCTAAAGCTAAGAAGAATATTATCTGCTGTTTGGCTATAATGGTCGGATACCGGTAGTTTATTTTGAAAATGAGGAAGGCTGTCTCACATTTTCAGTTTTCATTAAAATTCATGCCCCCCTTTCTCCGCCCCTCCCACAAAATGTTTTTTAAAGAAAACACACATATACTTCTTCTATATATTTGTGATTAATTTGTGATAAGGTTAACGTGGGAGCCATTATTATTATTATTATTATTATTATTATTATTATTATTATTATTATTATTTATTGAATTTGTATACTGCCCTACTCCCGAAGGACTCAGGGCGGTGAACGACCAAAAGATAAAATACATATAATACAAATGTTAAAAAACCATTAAAATACAATTAAATAATTTGGCCCAGAAAACAAAATTTAAAACACCCCAAATTTATAAGACAAATATAAAATTTTAAAAATTTAAAACAGTTTAAAAGAGAGGTTAGGCCAGGCCGGCCTGCTGGAATAGGGATGTTTTGAGGGCACGGTGGAAGTCGAGGTGTGAGCCAGAGCCTCAGGGAATGGCCCAAGCTCTGTCTGGAACCTATCAGGTTCCATCAGGCGCCTGGGGCGGAACCATCTCATCTGTTCTGCCTCCCTGTGGTGGGGTGTGGCTGTTCGAAGGTCAAGGCGAAGGAGGGAGTGATCTGACCATGACAAGGGCTCAATCACTATATCCCCTATCTCAAGATCACTCAACCACTGTCCAGAGACAAAAACTAGATCCAACGTGTTTCCCCCCGTGTGAGTAGAGCCATGAACTAATTGGGTCAGGTCCATAGCTGTCATGGAAGCCATGAACTCCCGAGCCATCTCAGACGTCTCACCTGTGGATGGTAAGTTAAAATCCCCCATGACCATAAGCCTGGGGGTGTCAACTGCAACCGCGGCTATCATGTTGAGTAGCTCGGGCAGGGTTGCTGCCATGTGGCAGGAAGCCAGGTACATGATCAGCAAGCCCATCTGTACCCCATGACCCCACTTCACAAGGAGGGACTCACAACCGGCGGTCTGAGGAACAGTGGCCTCCCTTGGCCCAAGACCTTCTTTAATAACAACCGCCACCCCTCCGCCCCTCCCCTGTGACCTCAGCTGATGAAATGCGTGGAAACCAGGTGGGCACATTTCAACGAGGGGGACCCCTCCTCCTGGCCCAACCAGGTTTCCATAATACCCGCCAGGTCCGCTCCCCCCTCCTGAACAAGATCACAAATGAGGGGGGGCTTATTTACCACAGACCTGGCATTGCACAACATCAGCCGAAGGCCCGGGCCCTGAGGATCTGTGCAACCTGGGGAACAAGCAGAGCATTGGGGGCCAGAGTGCGCCACCGCTCAAAAACAGCGAGTGCGTGCTCCCACAACTTGATATGGCCCCCTGCTCCCACTATATCTGCCCCTCCCACCCACAGTACTGATGACAAGTCCATCCTTGGAACAAGTTCTAACCCCCTCCTTGACCCGGGGTCCTACACCCCCCATACCGCGCCCCTCTGCCAGACCTGGCTCTCTCCTCAGTGGGTTATCCCCCACACCCACAATCCTGGTTCTAATCTGACTCTACCCCCCCCCGGGGCCCCTTAAAACTTTTGCTAAAAATTTGTATCAAGAAAGGAAAGAAATTAAATAGGCTGGGAATTATGTTATGCTCATTCTTATGTCCTGCTAACTGAAGCCCAAAGTTGTCCTATTGATCATTTTTACAGGAGATGACTTCACACTGCAGCCCTTTTCTCATCCCCATCCTACCTTGGAAACAGCCTAAATTGATCCTTAACTGTTTCATTTTTAAACTAAATTGCTTTGTCTTCTTTCAACATGGATCTTAGCATATAAATATTCTATGATATATCCTCCCCTCCCCTCCCTGGTCATTGGAACTGTCATCCATCACTTGGGGTACAAAAGACACTGGACATCTGGTTTGTGAGGAAGCCTCTGCCTATGTAATGTCTGACCCAGAAGTCACAAAGTGGCATATGGGCATTATAGCATTCCTTATAGAAAGCCAATTTGGTCTAGAGATTAAGTCCAGGCTTAGGAGCGGGAGACTATGAATTCAAGTCTCAT